GATAACATCCGCGACTGTACTGATGAAGGTATTCAGACTACTAGAGTGTATTGGGGGACTATTCTCAACACCTGTCAGTGGTGTCCACTACGAACCTCCAGCTCTCACTGTAGAGTCTGCAGAGCCGAGTTTGAGAAGCAAAGTCCTCACTTCGACGAGGATTCCCAATCGCTTTCGCGGTCTGTATCGTCTTCATCTCTCAACACATTCCCCTATCACCATTATCATGAAGCTAACCACGATCAGATCAGATGGTAGGGTCGGAGCTCTAATCATCACCAAACCTCGATCACGGAGGAATAGCCATCCGATGAGTTTCCGGAGCATACCCAGCACCCTATACGGAGATGGTGGATTGGATCAAGTCGGCCTCGACTGTTACAAAGAAGGGAGATATAGATGAATATGCGCATCTCATGTGGTCCCGGTGTCTAGGCCTCGCCTGGCTGGGGCTACAGGTTTTTTGAGACTTTTTCCCGCGCACGCAGTTTCCATTGCTACCATTTTTATTTTTTTTGGGTAGAAGGTTCCGTGGAAAAGGTGGGTGAATCCACGGGTAAATACTGAGCTGAATGGCTATTCATCAAGGGGAATATATCAATGATCTTTCAAGTAACAAAAGAGGATAGGAGCACTGTACAAGGTGTGGCCTGGGTCAGAGAGGAGCCCAATGTGCTAGATAGTCATAGACTCAAGTAGTACAATAAAACACACACACACATACGTTGAGTGGAGAGATTTGATTGGAGATTATCCTGAATCATAGGCCTGATGGGACTTTATCAGCAAAGATACCCAAAAATATCCTGACGAACATGTAAGAGAAAAATCGGAAAAGATCACTGTCGCTCTTAAGACTGCTGCTGGCAGTCAAAGGACTTACTATTGTGTGTGTTTATATTGTACTACTTGAGTCTATGACTATCTAGCACATTGGGCTCCTCTCTGACCCAGGCCACACCTTGTACAGTGCTCCTATCCTCTTTTGTTACTTGAAAGATCATTGATATATTCCCCTTGATAAATAGCCATTCAGCTCAGTGATTACCCGTGGAATTCGGCCACCTTTTCCACGGAACCTTCTACCCAAAAAAAATAAAAATGGTAGCAATGGAAACTGCGTGCGCGGGAAAAAGTCTCAAAAAACCTGTAGCCCCAGCCAGGCGAGGCCTAGACACCGGGACCACATGAGATGCGCATATTCATCTATATCTCCCTTCTTTGTAACAGTCGAGGCCGACTTGATCCAATCCACCATCTCCGTATAGGGTGCTGGGTATGCTCCGGAAACTCATCGGATGGCTATTCCTCCGTGATCGAGGTTTGGTGATGAGTAGAGCTCCGACCCTACCATCTGATCTGATCGTGGTTAGCTTCATGATAATGGTGATAGGGGAATGTGTTGAGAGATGAAGACGATACAGACCGCGAAAGCGATTGGGAATCCTCGTCGAAGTGAGGACTTTGCTTCTCAAACTCGGCTCTGCAGACTCTACAGTGAGAGCTGGAGGTTCGTAGTGGACACCGCTGACAGGTGTTGAGAATAGTCCCCCTGAGTCGACGATGACGGGTTGCCGAAGCTACTGAATTCCCCCTTTGCATCAGAATTTAGCTAATGTTAATTTCCATCGAATTTATCTACCTCTTTTTGAAAGTTTTGGGATCATCGAATTCGTAGAATCTGTAAAAGTGAATATGATCTACTAGTTCTATACGTATTGAGATTTCTTTTCCTTTTTGCTCAGAAGTTTGTTCATCAACGATACAAATTTGAAGTTTTAGCAGATTAAGACTATAGTGTTTACTTGTGCTCAGTATCCATGCGGCTTTCGCTCACTTGGGAGAGCGCCAGGCTGAAGTCAACTTCAGGAGACAAATCTGGAGGCACTGTATTCGATCAACAGAAGCCGCAGTTGTGCATAGCGTGGATCAATGCTCAGGGATCAGTGAAGTATAATTTTACATGGCAAATGAAACGATCGGGAATGACATTTTGATCAAACATTTTGGATGAGCCACGAGAAATAACGACTACCTAGTACATACGGCATCGAAGCGACCCAAACCATAATCCGCACAGTGTCTATAGTACCAGTTACGAGAGTAATTATCTGATCAATTACCGAATATTGATAGCCATTTATTTCGGAAATCCCTCTTAGAAATTTTCCTTTTTTTACGCATAGCCCTTTAACTAAAAGAATAAACCATAATAGTACTAATGGCAAGCTGCAAATACCGTCATAGATGAGACAACAGGTAGAATTACGATTACCCACAGTAACACACCCTCAAATATCTACCAGAACCTTAGCAGGGCCCAGAGTAGTATTGCAGTACAGACAAGAATTGAGCACATTGGTCTCAACACTTTTTTTTTTTAAAAATCATTTAATGTGTATTCAGCTATAGAGCTATGACACATGACCGGTGCTATGTATACATGTGGGATGACTCTTTTGACGTTAGAGACACTCATACTCTGGATTTCATTTGCAAATACCACTATGAGGTATGCTCGCTTACACAAACAGTTGACCCTCCTCCGTAAGTACCCACCAAAGGGAATTTCAAAACCTTGGGTAATCCAAGCATGCCTTCTTCATCCATGCATACCAGCGCCGCGAGAAATGTGGTTGTGTTTTGCCGGATTTGAACCAGCGGTCTCCTGTCTCGAGTGGGATATGTGTCCCAGCTATCTAGACTCTACTTGGCAGACCGGCCAAGACGATGTACCACCGCACCATCCAACTATGGCGGTGTTTATAGTGTCGCTTGCACTCTCGCAACCGAAGTCTTGGCACGTACAAAGCTCAATTTGTGAAAACTCCTTTCCAAACTTCAAAATTCCACGCCCGTCGAGACTGTATCCATCCTTCGCATCATCTATTGAACTTGTCCTGAGTCCTCTCACGCCAATCCCAAAGAACAGTCTCCTAGATTTGTGCGCCACGCTTTGTGTCCTCCTTCGGGTGTAAATATCGGCGTGGGCGTGTATCTGGCGACCAGCTAAGGCCAGAGAAAGTCGACAAGAGGTGTGGTCATTGAAATGAGGATATACTAGGTCGCACTTGTATACTTGATGAGGCTTAGGTAGGAATCGGACTCTTTGGGGAGTGAAGATTTGACGTGGTGGAGTAGTTTTAATCATTGCCTCGTGGGCCAACTTGTTCGGTATTGCGAAATTTGACTGAACTTGGCTCTGGGAGAATATTTCGCTCCCAGGTTCGTAGAGGACACCGCGTACAGGTGTTCAGTCTTGCCCTCCTTGTCTCAACCCTTATTTGTATGGAACAAAAGTCGCCGTAGTGATTAATCTAAAGTGCCAGTGCGGATATCCGTTTCGAAATGTTAGACATATGGTCTTGGCGTGTCCTCAGTGGGCAAGGGAAAGAGGAGAGGTGCTTCGAAAGGCAAAAGATAGGTCATTTGCGGCAATGCTGAACAGCCTACATGGTATGGAGAGAATCACAAAATAAACCCCGGCAAGAGACTGGTTCGAACAAGTCCGGCTCGCACGAAAAGTAGAAATCGTCGTGATCTAACGCTGTTTAATCTGCGGACTTGGTGGTGAGCAGTTTTTATATCTCACGTGATGGAACATGGGAGCGGAGTAAAATAGGCGACAGACCACTGGTCAAATCCATGCGACTACGGGCACACATACAGAACTGTGTATCCACGGACGAGGGCTGACTTGGGGTGAAGAAAAAGCCACCATAACTTCGCAGTGGTACTTGCAAATGAAATCCGAGGCATGAGTACTCTTCTTATAAATTGAGTCATCTTTTCTGTACATTTCTTTGATATTGTGTCATAGCTAGATAGCTGCATGCACAATTAAAATCTGATGCAAAAAGAAAAATATAGAACTGTGGCGCATTCTCTGTAGATAGACATGTCAGTTAATCATCAATAATTGAATCATCCTCCACACAATTGAGACCCTTAGAAGTGCCGAACTTTCATACAACCCTCAATTTTATTTTTGCAATCGAATCTGTAACGAGCAACCATTAAATTCTAGATTACACTCTCTAACTGTGATAAGCCACACTGCCAGGTCTAGCATACAGTTACAATAGAAACTATATTGAACAAAAATATGAGACGATATGGACAAGGACTAGACGGAATTCACACTGTATTAACAATACAAATGCATTTCCTTTAGGAAACCTCGGTAAATCCAATAGACATGAGATGGACAGTTTTGGGAGTTTTTACCGATTTTGTTTCCGCTCTTGAAATTTTAATAGCAAGATATACCTGCATAGGCTCATGGGGTACCCTAACGGGTAAAATGAAGTCAAATAATAATGCCAAGGGGTAGTGTAGAGAAATGAAGACCAGAAAAGGATATATTTATTGTACTGCTTGATTTATAGACTATCTAGCATAATAAGCTCCTCGCCAGCTCAGGCCACATTTCGAACAGTGCTCCTATCATTTTTTATTACTTGGAAGATCAATGACATCTTACCCGCAATGAATAGCCATTCAGCTAAATATTACCCGTGGAGTTCTGTCACCTTTTCCACGAAACTTTCTACCCAAAGAAGCTGCGCTAATGACAACTTATTCGCTTTGCACTTCTGATCAATCCATGAAGATCACGGATAAATCTGAATTTGATGTCGCGATGGGTGGTAGTCTAGTTTCAACGCGCTTTTCATCAGCAAGGTAATAGAAATCGGGGAGATTTATGCTGTTCCGAGGATTGACGCTCTCGAAACTATATTATCCAAAAAGCATCATGTCACAAGACCTTCAGTCTAGATGCCGAAAAATTTGAGTATAACATAGACAAATTGATGGGAGCCCTATTAATAACGAATCTTCCGCTACTAGATCCACGTCAAGTCTTTACAGTTTCATAATTTATGCTTTTGATTATTCAGAGCAGATCAAAAACTGGACATTTCATGGTTTCTTAATATTTGAATAACGCCAATGCCATAACTAGAAAAGACCCTCATCGGGCCCAAAGAAAACTGCAATCAGGACATTCCCAAGTAATCTTTTTTCCCAATATCCACGCCCTCCTTACGCAAAAGGTTGTATGCCGTAACAAAGTGGAAAAAGAAATTTGGAATGGCAAACTCTAAAACATAACTTTTGCCCGTAAATTTTAGTTCCTTTGTCCTACACCAACGATTAGAATAGTTTAAAATCTAAATTTGTGCAAAAATGAGCAGAATAGTTTCTAAAGAATCCGTCCTCAAAAATTTCACAGGGGCTGGAAGACACTTCAGGAATCCACTCACGGTGCTACGTATATAACCTCTGCGTCTTCTGCCACAAAGTTACACTCTTTCACGCTTTCCAATATCGTGATTGTACGCTCAATTCGAGTTTGTAATTCTTCCATGGTGGTCTCTTTGTCCTCAAGGGCGACAGGCTCAACCTTAGCGGCGCGAACGGCGAGACCCTTGGAGGTATCCGAAACTCTTTGAACTGAAAAGCTTCATCAGTAACCTGTCCAATCGCCCAGAGATGCCCTGCTAGACTCAATAGACTTGATTGTTGGGTCCAGCTTTATTAACGTAAAATGCTTGAGGTAGGTCTCCTAGTGCAGATATTTTCAAGACTCACTTTGGTAGATGAGGTTTCCCATGTCTGAAATAAGACGGCTTTCCAGTAGCTGTTTTTCAGTAACGCCTGAATGAGCGGAGCCCTTGGCGAGTAGGGCCGCAAGAACCTTAAGATTCTTGATGAAGACTGGAATACTTGATTCATAGAGGGACACCATGATTACTATGATGATGTTTGGACTGGCGTGAACTCTAGACCTTTACCGAACAAAGAACAGTAGACCTGCCAAAGTAGTCAAGACTGTAGATATTGGATGGGAGAGAAGTGATCGGTGTAGTTTGCGAGGCGAATGGAAGACTAAATAGTTAGGACTTGAGTGATGGGAATGATATCTTGGCACATGGACGTAGTGGCTACGCATCAAACCGGTATAGACTAGCAGTTGGTGTCGTCATGATGCCTATCTGTCTACCCTGACCGCTCCGCCTGACCAACGTCGGCAGCAGCCGCCTTAAACTCCATGCCAAGCCGCGTTGGCATTTACGTCATCCGTTGATCCCCTGCCAACCATATGACGAGGCCAGAGCGAGAGAAGTATAATACGAGTTACTCCTTCCTCGCTGCTGATCACATGATCTTATCCGAAGGTTGGAGAAGAGAGGTGTTGCCTGTAACGGGAAGCGGCAGCTACTCGGCCCGGGCTCTGTTCGGATTGCGGCTGGTGTAAGCCTAGCGTTTTACGAGCACTGCCTAGCCACTTGGCCGAGCGGTTAAGTGTCTATGTCGCGGATGATGTGGCGCGACATCTTTAAACTTTTGGGGACGGAAAGCGAAGTACGACGACGCATCAGCCATGGATTCAGCAAGCTAGGGAAATACTCTGCCAGGACCGTGTCTGAGACAAAGCCCGCAGCAAGACAATGTGGTATTGGTGAATGGTACGAGATATTTCATGTGCTCCACTTTCGATACAATGCAAGTGACCATGGAGTAACGGGGCAGCGCTCAGGGTCGCTATGTAAGGCGGTAGACGGAAAGTGGATGGTGCGGGCCTTGCAGTGATCGAGACATGACCATATAGATTCGCGTTGGATAAGAACTAGTTACCTTTTCCTGCTTGTGTCTGTGCTTTTTCTCTGATATTGTGTAATAGCTAGATAACTCTATACGCAAACTACATCTGATGCAAAAAAAGACACTGCTTGTATCCTGCCGAGCACGTCGAAGTTTCCCTTCACCCAGCTCCTACATTTTTTACACAAAAAATGCCTTCCTCTTCTTTGCAGTGAACTATTCCAAAGCTTCTTTTTCATCACCCGGCGCATTGCCTTTGTATCCGGCGAAATGGCAGTAGTAGGATCCATGAAACTATGCTTAAAAACTTCTGACCGCAGCAGGGCTACCCCGAGCTCACGAAGCTGTAGATAACCTATCTATCTGCACGGAGGCTCTTTGGTGGTAGAAGTCAGCGCGGCTGGCCATTTGGAGTCTGGATTCTGTAATTTTGCTTTAGGAGGCGCGGCCACACTTCGCCATGTCCATCAACGCCAGCTTCCGCGTGGCGCGTGTGTTTCTCCTGCAGCGTTTTGATCACTCATGTCATCTGCAGTGGCTCTAACTACCTATGGTCTGAGACCTACAGAGTGATGCTTCTAATATCATCCAGCCTGTCTATCACGGCTTCGTAACATCGATTTCGCACTTCTGGGCTGATCTCTGCTCGACGCCTACTCTATCGAGGGTAAGTGGACATGACCCTTGGTATCTTTTGGAACTTATTGGATAGGCTGAAGGTATAAACCCTAATTAAATTGAAGCTTTTTTTGCATTAGATCTTAACTGCGCATGCAGCTATCTAGCCATGCTACAATACCCGAGAAGTACCGAAAAGATGACTCGACATACAACTTAAAGCTTGCAAGATAGCTATGACAGTCCTTCATAGTCTTAGAACCAGTAGGAACTTGAATTCTATTCTATCGAGGGTAAGCTATTCCCAATTGTCTAGTCTTCTGTGATCAGTAGCTACATGCATAGCTTCCGCTTCAGACCCTTGCGACTCATCTCTCATGCGAATACGAGTTGATCCCCATGTCCTCACTTTGGCACTTTGTTTTAGTAGCAAACCTCCTACACCCACATATAACCAACTTGACTGGGTCTCCAGCCCTACTCTGCATCCTTGGCAGTTTTGAGCTACTGAGAACTTAATCCGCACTCAAAGTGTAAACTCATGTCCTGTTTGCGCTCGCTCAAATCCACTGGAAACTTCAGTGAACTCATACATGGCTCACGCGACATGTACAAATTATTGTGCTGCTCAATCTACAAGTATTGCTGGTCGAGCCCGTAATCCTGAACGCTGATGGGAAGCTTCCCAACGAAGCGAGATGGATGAGATTATAAGTGGTGAAGCTCATAGATTTCGGGACTCAAGGGCCGATCACATTTTGATACCATTATCCTTTCTCTATGTATGAGCATATACGACATGAAGGCCTCCCCTGCCAATAGGCCAACAGTTGCCATGCCTCGTCTAGACCTCTTCCCTCAACCGCGGCCCGGGAAGGATCAAAGTTCGAGCTAAAGTTTCAAAGCAGTCCGAACAAAATGTGCAAGGAGTATTGTAGCTTGACCCAATGCCACCGTTGCATAAAATCCTAGGAATCTCTTCCCTGATTCATTGGTCACTATGGACAGGGTCCTCTGGTATATGGTTCTCTGATCACGGTAAAGCGTGGATGTACACCTACTTCCAATGAGATTAGTAAACAATGCCTTGATGAGCCTATGACTGTAATAGCATATGTGTGTCTTCTCCGCATGTAGGCCTACAATTTTATGCCTTGAGAATTTTAATCTCTGTGGGTATTCCATAGCTCCACATTCCTCAAGGGCACGCTAAAAGATGTTGTTAATCAACCTATTTCTCGCCAGCCAGCTGAGCCAAAGATATTTGCCGGCGTGTAACTGCAGGGAAAATACTCCATTCCCGCTGGTTACGGATCTCCTATACTACCGACATGACTACGGCTCTGAAGCGTTCAGCCGGACCGCATGGTTTATTCATACCAAAAAGTAAATCTAATGCTCCCCATTTTCCCAATCAATACTGTAGGACAAGCCAGTAGTCTTGATAGTAAGAAAAGTCTCGTCTGAGCAGTCAGTGTGAAGCAGCCCAACCTAGCATCTAAATCCGTTGCAATGATGGTGTGGCCGAGCTACTCGTGAGTTACTGAAGCTTTCTGGACTAGTGAAATCGAATATTAAAGGTTGGAGAGATCATGTTTTCGGCCAGACAAGTGCTGCTGGTTTCGACGACGACTGGATCAGTTATGTGGCATCCGTAGACTTTGGCACAGCCACCAGTGGTTAGCACTTCAGGAAATGCGCCGACGACTTCTCAATCTACCGTTGAAGCGTTTGCCACCATGCTATTCCTCCTCTTGTCAAGCGTCGGTGGTTTCGCGATGTTTGTAGGCGTATTTCTGACGATGCAGTCGAGGTCACGCTTGAAAGATTGAATGGCTAGATCTCGGCTCGGTGAGGCCTACGGTGACGGCTGCAAGTTGCAGTGAGTGGCGTTGATAGTTGATGACTTCCACCCCTCGGGATACTGCTCGATAGAGATTCTGGCGACTTTGAGCCCAACGCCTGCACGTTGCCTGCACTGTGGGGACACGCCAAATTCGGATTGGTGTGGGGACCGATACGAGCGATTGCGGGATGGGATCGACTCGATACTCGTATATCCATCCACTCAAGAGGACGCGCGGGAGCTCTTCCTGCATGCGAGGCTACAAGTCCCCTCTAACAGCGACTATGAAAACTCTGTTTCGGACCTCGCGGATACATGTCCTAGTGCATCAATATGCTCCACAGGAAAAAAGTATCACATCAACCAACGCCATTTTCACCCAGAAGCATTGACCGGTACCTTTTGAAATGCACCTTCATGCAGGAGAGATTGCAGGATTCTAAATTTCGAGGGCATACCATGGTAAGTACGATATCTCTCCACCATGCCATACCGCCCCACAGGCTACAAGGAGGTATTTCGTCACTGGGATTCTTTGACAACTGAAAGCAATGCAGCACGTTCTCCATGACGTGGATTGCGGGCACGGAAGAGAGGTCTGTCCTATCTGAAGTGCTGGACTCACAACGGCGTTAAAGTATGCTCCCTCTCTCAGGTGTGGCCGCTAAAGAATATGTCTCTCAAACCAAGCAGTTGTACAAGTAGTTAGTCTTGGGCTGTGACCTACAACGACCGACTCTGTTCTTTCTCATGAATAATATAAAAAAGTTAATGGGGATAGATCGCTTCGCTGGTCCATAGTCACCGCCACGCATCGTCGAAACAAATCTACGACCCACTCTAGGATTTCAATGAGGCTCTCACGTCAAAGTACCGATCACGGTGATCGGAGCCATAGCAATGTTCGCAATGCTCATCTTGGCCCTAGCTGTCTCAATGTAGTGCCTCGAGCGATAACTGCCAAAGCGACGATCCTCACCATGGAGTTCACATTTATTGATTGCAAGATACAAAGGTTGAATATCTATAGTGTCTACCAAGGACCTAGGAATGAAGCATACCATCACAGTTTGATTCAGTCGCGAAGTAGGGTAGACCTGATAATTTTAGTCGAGACGGCGTTGCTAAATTGTGTGGAAACCCAACCTTCCGAAACTCCGCACGCCCACACGTCAAAGGTGCCGCTGCTTCTACACCAAATACGGTCCGGACATAGGCCCAAACCGATGGTAATCGTCTCACCACAAGAGAAGCGCATGCACATTTCGATTTTTCCCGCCACGTCTTTTCGCGCCCGATCACCTCGCGAAAGAGCGAAGCACTCCAACATCCTAACCGTCGGGATTATTATCAGAGATATGAGAAGCCATCCAAGTCTCGCCGCCTACGGCGCGCCACGAAGCTACGGTCAAAGCACTGTTTTTTTATGCGCCACCAACTCAATTTGCGACGAATCGCTACAATCAAAATAGCCACGATACTTTGCTGATTTATAAACTAAAGCAGTCGATTGCTGCGCAAGCGTTGATGCTTCGGCCATGAGCTCTCGGTGCGTATGCGGGATCTGCAGCTAGACGTGCGACGGCGACAAAGCATGGCCGATCTCACGGAAAAGTCTCAAGTTTCCGAGTTGTCAGATATATCAAGGTCATACGTAAATAGAGGATTAAATAGGAAGCGAAAGGCAGGAGGCCTAGAACTTAGGAAACGGCTCCTTAATGAGATGATGTAATGCTAGATCAGAATGGTGAGGCGCTAATGGTTCGAGCCTGTGGAGGCTTATTCAGAGGAGCAACTCACACTTTTGCGCGCCACAATGGTATTCTCCAAACTGTCCTTCCAAACATGAGCCATCATGTACATGAAGTGTGAGGTGGTCTGGCCATTCGAGCAGGACGAGGGTCGTGCACATAGTTGTAGTCAACCTGATCCTGCATAGCCCCACCCAGACCGAAACACCTGAAGAAGTGTGAGGGCAGCGAATTACCTCGTACATAGATACATAAATATCTGGAATTTTGATTTCTATTTATATGAGATAAAGCAATAAAAATGGCATATTCCGGAGCGCTGTTTTCACATCCTTTGGAGACATCCAAGTACTCCTTTTCTGCGGCGATCTTTAGCCATTTTTGGTCGAGATACTTATATTCCACTATCTATCGAACGCTGACTACTAATCAAAGCTGGCTTTACTTTGATTACACTTAGCCACCCAAAGCTTGCCAACAAAGTAACTTTTTTTGACAAACTACTGTCAACCACCCACCCAAATTAGACGCTAAATCGCTGCAGACCAGTCCCAAATAATACACGTAGATCGAAATTTACAAATTCATGAATGCTTTACCAAAAACCTATGTATATTCTGGCACACAAAGGCCAAGAATCAGAAAATTGACTATAGTGCTTCAGCCTGATAAGCTGGAGGTGCCTCACTCTGGTCAGCTTCCGATGGCCAGGGATCTAACTGATCTTTCTTCTCGTGAACTTGTAAATTCAAAGCCTCAGACATCTTAAGAATCCATGCTCGTTCAAGTAGAATTCGTGATACGGATGCTTTCTGCGCTGCTGTCATGATCTCAGACGTCTTTCCAAAGGCTGATGATAATCCTATTGCTTTTGTTGATGGAATGTAGCCTCCCATAGGAGCTAGTAGTGGAGCTCTATCTCTCACAGAGATTGGTGAGACTTCTTTCGGCATTTCAGGAGCTACAGAGTTTGTCAAATAATCGGAATGAGCTAGAGGTGAAGAGCGTTTTTCAGGTTCAGTCTCGTCACTGCTAGCTTGGAATCGCACTTGACGAGAAGGTGAGGGCGAGGGTTCTAATATTTTATCCTCAAGTTTAGGAGATGCCATAGCTGGCTCATGTAGAGGGTCTTTACTATTTGTTGCGCATGTGTCGCTCACTGGCAGTTCTGAATTCCTTGGTTTTCGGAGATCAAAAATCCGGTTCTTCTTCTTGTGCATGTGTGAGCGAGTGCTTCGGGCACAACCGAGGCTTAGTCCTGTTGTTGATGGTAGGCTATTTATTGATGAGCAAGATGAGTGGCTTCCCATGCCATTTCCGTCATCGGAAAGACGACTAGGGGTGTAAGCTGTGACAGTGCTTCCAAAGCTTGAATGAGAGCGTCTCAGACATGGACTCCCAGGCACAGATGATCCAGCTGTTTCACTGCGGTCGGATGGGCTTGCCAAGGCACGATATACGATGTCATTGATGGAAGGCGTGAATAGTGAAAGGGTACGGTGACATCCCCTGAGAGCGGCTAAGCGGAGAAGATTTTGCTGTGAAAACAATGATTGGATTTCTGGACTTCCATCGAGTGACAATGATGATATCTCATTAGCATCAAGAACGTTTCCTCGAGAGTCTACGGCATCCTGAGGAGGGCTAGCAAAAGGATCTATGATAATCTCATGTTCTTTTCTTGCTTCTGGCTCCGTTTGATTAGATTGTCTAGTAGAATGTTCTGGACACCATAGTTGTAGTGATAGTCGGTGTATTATCGCTGGTAGCTCATCCATCATCAGCGTTCTTAGCTGCATCTCGATTTCTTTTTGCAGGTAGTCCCTCACAAAAGGTATAGAGTCGAACGTCGAAGAAACCTTAAGAGACTCAAGTGGATCATTCCGAAAGACCAAAGTCAGTCCTTTCAACCTAGAGAATACGAGAATAATGAAGGCTGATAGCTTAATTTCTGACAGCGTAATCTGTAACGGTATGGTCAGCCCAGAAGCAGCTGCCAAGGGCTGTGGTGATGTGAATAAAGGTTTCGAAAATAGATATGTATTCATTGGATTAGCCTAGGTATGTGATGTTAGTGCATTCTTCACAAGGATATCGACCTGGCGCAGATATGTATAGAAGATTATTGTAAATGGGCCGCTAAGTGAATTATGCATGTTCAGAAATGGGGGACCATTTACCTGTACTCTCGTCTTGAGTGTCAAGAATGCATCACCCGAGTAACACATCTTGAATATACCTCGAAATCTATCTTCTGCCAAGTCGCCAATTTCTAGAATCTCAAGATCTGGAGGCACACTTCCAAGATTGAGTTCATTTACAATAATATCGTCGACAATAATTGGAGGTTTTGGTGATTTGTTTAGGGCGGTAGTGAGCATCTCCTGAGCTCTCTGATAGAAGTTTGCATCTGCCGTTAGAGGCGACCAGTTAAAATTGAATGCCATTGTGAGAGCACATTAAGATATGCAAGCAGGAATTTTCCAATTTTGTGAGAATTTGAATATGAGTGATTAATAGCTACTTGGTGAATGGTTATATTCAAATTCTCGATACTCAACCAAGACTATTGGTATGTATTAGGGGATTCTTTTCTGTTCGTGCAAAGAAATGTGGAAGATATTTTGAGGTAGAGAGGTGGGAATGCGTGAGCTCAAATCGTGTGCTGCTGTCAGTGAGTGACGATCCGATGACTGACTAAAGCACCACTTGAATCGAAGTTATAGCATGAACTCTCTCATCTCCCTACGATAGGATCTCATTAGCCAAGTCGTTATTATTTTTTGAATTATGCAGTTGGCATCTATTTTAATAAATCTGATTTTGTAGAGAATTGATTGGAGAGGCTTAGATCTATCTTCTTGCGAATGTGAGTAACCTTGGGTCCAGGTGCAAAAGATCAACCTTAGTGCGGTCTCTCGGGCCCCGTAACCTCCCCACGTTGGCTTTACCGCTGTGGTTATACTCACTGGGCCCTCACCACTTGCTGGGCCTTGAGGGATGCGCACGGGATTCAGTAGACGATTCAGCCGTTGTATCTACCGGCACGAGCCATTTTCAATCAATGATCATGCCTTTGCATTGTTTACCGCTCCACTCGGCAATCCTAGAATTGGTCATCTTTCCAAGATGGCTTAAGTAAAAGCAAGGATACAATCTATCATCAAACCTCTCATCATTAATGCAGCAGATTAACGAACCAATATACTTGTCATCTACTAAGAGTTGTTAAATTCTACAGGGGTGCAAAGGTCCAACACTCATCCACAGTATCGCTCTTGAAGCTCAAGCTCTCTGCGTAGAGACGACAGATCTGAGACTAAATCCAGCGCTAGCCACGAGGGCTTCCTCTCTTAAAGGTTCTACGAAATTCTTCGCTACCCATGATGGTGCAAGGAAGTTGAGCTGCGACAGAAGGGCAGATAGTGGCTTTCCTAGCTACACACAAGTCTGCAGCACTCTGCTTACCAGGCTCAATGAAAGATTTAGAAGTGCAGCAATGTCTTGAGATTTAGTCCTGTTATTGGTAATAGAAGAGCTCCGCACCAAGTGGTTTTTATACCTTTTCCCGGTCGCTATACACACGTAAATGAGTTTTGCTTCATTGCTCGGAGGGGTAGAAAATGAGGATAGTTTGCAATTCTACTTTTGCACTGAAGTGAAGAATGGTGAGGCGTGTTACTGTTCGGAAGGGGCAGTATAGAGGACAGTCAAAAGGACCTACAACTCGAGACTTAATTATCCATGGCCTGTAGGCAGGAAGGAAGAAAATGTCCCACCACGTCATAGACTGAGAAAGCTCAGTAGTAATAACAATAAAATGCTATCAACAATCAAGATGATTGTGACGTGCTTAGCACCTTCGTCTCTCTGTATCCAAGAATAGCTTTCATTTTCCCGTATGACCCTTTAATTTTCAAGATTTCTGATGGACGTTTATAATTTCAAGAAAAGTTTATTCCATGACCTCGAATATGTGCGGTCTGTCTGTTAACGTCTACACTCCAAGGGCTGCATGGCGCTTCGGTGTGCAATACAGCAAGACTTCCAAAGTAGTTTCGGGAGGCGTTAGAGATGGCTATCTTTAGGGACAATAGGTGGTAATTATCAATTAAATAGGTCGGCTTTAATGCAAAGTAATACGCCGCTTTGCTGGTCATCTCGTTTTCCTGAGATGTATCTCTCCATAGATTATTACAATCATCTAATAAATAGTTTGACTAAGGGGTAAATATTTATTGGGCTGATTGAGACTATGACTATTAAGAACATTGGTCTCCTTTGACACAGGTCACACATTGTACTATGCTCCAATTCTCTTTCACTACTTGGAAGTTCTTTGATATATGCCCAAAATGGGTAGCTCTTCAGCTCAGTGCTTACTCGTAGAATTTGGCCACTATTTCCACTAAACCTTTTATCCAAAAAATAGTAGCCAAGGAATCTACTTGCACGGGAAAAGGTCTCAAAAAACCTGTAGCCCCAGCCAGGCGAGGCCTAGACATCGGCGCCACATGAGGAGCACATATTCATCAATATCTCCCTTCTTTGTAACAGTCGAGGCCGTCTTGATCCAAGCCACCATCTCCTTACCGGGTGCTAAGTACGCTCCGGAAACACATGGGATGGCTTTTCCTCCATGATCAAGTGATAGTGATGAGTAGGGCTCCGACCCTACCGTCTAATCTGATTTTGGTTAGCTTCATGACAATAGTAATAGAGGAATGTGATGAGAGATGAAGACGATACAGACCGCGAAAGCGATTGGGAATCCTCGTCGAAGTGAGGACTTTGTTACTCAAACTCGGCTCTGCAGACTCTATAGTGAGAGCTGGAGGTTCGTAGTGGACACCACTGACATGTGTTGAGAATAGTCACCCGAGCAGCGTCTTAAAAGAACCATTAGAATGTTGGACAAAAGCTGTCAAGTCAGACCAGGTCGCAATCAGCGCGCACAAGTGCGTTCTCATATCTCTAGTTATGTACTTACTCCAGAGCTGGAGTCGATGCCGAGTTCATTACATTTGGTAGGGAGTTCTTGTGTCGCGAACGCATTGACGGAAGCCCTTCTGTTTCTTGATCAGTATGTAATTTGATCTGATAATTCAAGTCTAATTTCTCCGATTGAACACATCATTACATTTAATATCAAATCTTTACACATATGTACTAATCTCCCGCATGGATAACAATTCTTCACAAGATCTACACCTTGAAATGATTGATCAGGATGGCATGACTCGGTTTACATTTCCAAAGAAAGACTTTGGGGCAAGACTTTGGATATCTAACATGATCTCATGGATAGAGAAAGCAATATTCGCCGTCTAGTTTTGTTTTCAACATTCATTTAATAAAATTGAGAAAATTAATGATCACTTCCTACAATCGCTGACCTGCAAGTATAAACTCCGCTTCCCGAAACCTTCTTAACAGACGAACTACTCGTTAGTCTCCTGTGGAAAATATGCTGATATTATGTTAATGAAATATGCAGAATTTTCTACCAAGATGACGAAATTGCAATGTATTTTTGCTTTTCTTACATGCTCGTCACCAAATTCGAGACAGAAAGGCCGTCTGGTCATCGCAGGTGGCGATAATCTTCCTTTCTATGGCGTCTATCATCCTCCATCATACTGCAGCTTCCCAATGCCTAAAATAAACCCCGATCAGATTGTTAAGATCGAAAGGGCTTCAAAAACCGGCAGTCACATGGCGAAATACTGCTCGACCAATATTCCAATCGCTGAGATTCTAGCCTTAGTTACCAATGGTTTAGTGACGGTCACGCAAGCCTCAAATCTGAAAACCAACAGCTATGGCGATGCAGAAACAAAATGTCTGGACCACATTGAGCACCTATCACGTACAAAAGATATAAAAGCTACGATTAATATGTCAGAGACTCTTCGGGTTGAGAAATGCTCCATTGCTTCGATTACTAATCTTTGCTTTCGCGGAAAAATCTCAGTCCTAGGGAATTACAGTGGCTTTGTTCCGCCGCCTTCAAGGAACACAATCAGCATAGTAACTGACCGACCTATAAAGATGAGGAGCTTGATTGAGGGTACTGAAATGTACAAGGGATGGGGACATATTGAAAATCAGGCACCTGGCAGTTCTCGGGGCACCTACAAGGGATGGGAATCTATTGAAAATCAGGCACTTGGCTGGTATCGGGGCAATCTGCATCTTTTCCAAAAGAACGAAATCAAAAATGTTTGGGTTCTAAGAACGAGTCTCTTTCCCAGCGTTCAAAATGGAGTATTAATAGCTACATATTTGACTCTCAGCAGTTATCCTGTGGATGTAATTGATGATGGTTTTATTTACACAACAAAAAGCGATGAATACTCAAGAACTGTGGCCAAAGGGGTAACGGACGATCTTTCTGAGGAAGAGGTCATGAAAAGATACAGTTATTTGCTGTACAGTGTAATTCCGATGAGACCAGAGAAAGTAAGGGGCGACATTGGCGCCTTACAACACTAAGTTGTAGCTGGATGCTGCAGTCATACTTCATCTGGGCCGACTGTCTGTTGCGGGTTCTGGGTTCGCTATGATAACCCCTGTAAATTAGATTTCAATTGCGAATCATTCCCAAGCGCATCATATATCGACCCCTGTATTTTAGAGAAACAGTTTGAGTTTGATCTAAATAAACGTCGTACTGATGCATAGCTCATGATTAATGTTATGATTCGGACGACCCAGTCCCTTAAGAACTACCCGACGCCTGGGTGTACCATACAGCAGCCGGAAACTATTGAAATGTATAACCCACTACTTAGTTCGTGGACTTATTGGTAGAGGGAAGCTTATGCAACAATGAAGGATAAAAGGATATCAACTCGATTACTCTACTTAACACAGGTACCAGACTCCTTTTAATCCCAATAGATAGCCCGTGCGGGATCTCCTATTAACAGCAGTAAACAACGCTAGCATGGGTTGGATGGTGCAGTGGTACACCATCCGGGCCGTTCTCCCAAGTACATACTGGGTAGCTTGAACACCTACCCCATTCGAGACAGGAGAAAGCTGGTTCGAATCCAGTAAAACCCATACACCACTCTCTCCCGCGGTGATATTGTACTTGTGGGATGATGAAAGCACACTCAGATAGCCACCGGGTTTTCACGCTTTTCCCTGTGGTGGGTACGCACGGAAGAGGTTGTACGCCGTAAGGGTTAACCTCGAGTGGTATCTGCAAATGAAATCTGAGTGTGAGTGTTCTAAATGTCAAATTGAGTCATCCTACTTAAAGCAAATACCTTCCGATCAAAACCTACATGGGCCTCAAGGCGCCAAATCAGGAAAAATGAATCATGTAAACAACTCTAGCACAGGGTGTGCAAGACTGAACACCTGTACGCGGTGTCCTCTACGAACCTGGGAATGAAATATTCTCCCAGAGCCAAGTTCAGTCAAGTTTCGCAATACCGAACAAGTTGGTCCACGGGACAAAAATTCAAATTACTCCACCATGTCAATCTTTCACTCCCAAAGAGTCCGATTCTCAAAAAAGCTTCATCAAGTCTACAAGTAAGACCTAGTACATCCTCGTTTCAATGACCACACCTCTTGTCGAATTTCTCTGGCCTTAGCTGGTCGCCAAATACACGCCCACGCCGATATTTACACCCGACGGAGGACACAAAGCGTGGCGCACAAATCTAGGAGACTGTTTTTTGGGATTGGCGTGAGAGGACTCAGGATAAGTTCAATAGATGATGCGAAGGATGGATACAGTCTCGACGGGCGTGGAATTTTGAAGTTTGGAAAGGAGTTTTTACAAATTGAGCTTTGTACGTGCCAAGACTTCGGTTGCGAGAGTGCAAGCGACACTATAAACACCGCCATAGTTGGATGGTGCGGTGGCACATCGTCTAGGCCGGTCTGCCAAGTAGAGTCTGGATAGCTGGGACACATATCCCACTCGAGACAGGAGACCGCTGGTTCAAATCCGGCAAAACACAACCACATTTCTCGCGGCGCTGGTATGCATGGATGAAGAAGGCATGCTTGGATTACCCAAGGTTTTGAAATTCCCTTTGGTGGGTACTTACGGAGGAGGGTCAACTGTTTGTGTAAGCGAGCATACCTCATAGTGGTATTTGCAAATGAAATCCAGAGTATGAGTGTCTCTAACGTCAAAAGAGTCATCCCACATGTATACATAGCACCGGTCATGTGTCATAGCTAGATAGCTGAATACACATTAAATGATTTAAAAAAAAGGTATCATTTTCTTTTTCTCTGGAAAATCATTCCTAGCCAAACTTATCCCGCGGCCCTCTCCACAATTATCTCACTACCCACTAAAGCAATCCCATACCTCCAAAAGTCAAATCGCCAACAAAGTAGCAAGAGGATGTCCGACCCTCCACAACTGCCAGTCAATGTGAAGGTACGGTCGAAATACCGGCCTTAAATGTGTCCTCGCGTCGACCAAGAGCACCAACAACTCGACCTGCGACGAATCGCCACCGACGAAATACGTACGACATTTCGCCGGCACGCCAACCAGAGCATTCGACAAAGGCTGGGGCACCGGTGCCTCGGTCTTAAGCTCTCAGTCGCGTTTTATCATGTAGAGACATGATTCATTCATGAGTTGATATTGTTCAGACGATCATGACTTTATCACAACGTCATGTACAGGCACGACTCATCGTTTGTACCTGTTGTATCAACCATGACTATGTCTTAGTGATATGAGAAACATCATTGACTAGTTACTAGAAACCTAATCAAGATCCTAAACACACAACTGAGACTAGGAGAATTTTACTGAGTAAGTAATTATTCTGATGAATCTAGATCTAGAGGAACATAATCTGGTTGCTTGGCTTGAGGTATATGAACCTGAGCATATCATGTATTATAAACTATATAGAAATCTATCTCAATCACAATCATCATCTTAATTCATGTCACCATCAATAGCTGCAAAGGATAGTTTAACCATTTCCTTATACGTTTCCACCTCCACGGTTAGGGGTATGGCAGCGACGGGGCAAGGCCGGAGGGGTGGACATTCCACAAAGTTTCTAGGATGACGAGACTGGCTAAATGACAAAGGGATGCTGTATGGGGTAGGAAAATGAGGGAATAAAAAATGCGGAGGCCTTGGTGGTCGACTGGATGAGGCCTCCAGTTAAGAAAACGACTCCTGGAAGAGATAAGCAGATGCTGGGACTGAATGGGAGGGAAAAGTTACAGATCGCGAAGGTATCAAGGACTCGAGCTCGAGCGTGTGGTAGCCAAGGCTGAGGAGGAACTTGCGCTACAGTGCGCCAAAATATGGTTCTCTGGACGGTCCGGCTTGACATGATTCAACAAATGGGTGAAGTCTGAGGTGGGACGAGGTATATATACTCAATAGTAGTCAATCTGATCCAGCCCGGCTCCACCGGTCCTTCACCCATAGTGTATAAAGAGCTTTCGCTTAGGACCTATTCGTAAAAAAAAATTAAACAAACCATTCGAGGAATTCGAAAACTCCCGTTTACCTTTTTCCACCCTCTCAATCTCGTCGTATTCCTTCAGTAAATTGTCATCGAGTTGCTGGCATCTTAACCATGCCACCTGTTCGTAAAAAGCGTCTCAACGCCAAGTTGGACAACACGAGAGTCCGCCCGAGGGCTCTCGAAAAATTACCTGACCTTGCCCAGTCTCCGAAATGCGCGGAGATGAGCAAGGTCTCAATCAAAGGGAAGGAAAAAGCCCTCCCCACCGTCGCTGAACCCGATACCGACATGATCGGGTCAGTCGAAATTGTTGAGGAACTTCCTCAACCATCCTCCAATCCCTCACGGGATTGGAGAATCGTCAAAATCTCTTCCTACCACGTCCAAACCGTCGGAAAACGCTGCAACAAAAGCAGCTCCAATCAAAGAGTCGCAGCCTCAAACTGCCACTAATGCAGAATGCCCTCCTGAACTACGATCAATTGTCGAAGCCGAACAACGACACGCCGCCAAAAGAGTGGCAAACCTGGCACTCTGTTCCGCCGCCATCTCTGGCGTCGAAGCCACCTACTCCCTTTGACCAACGGGTCGAATAGACAATAAGTAGACTCGATGAGAGTCTACCTACGCGCTGCCATTGTGCAATATATGGCAACGGGTCTGGCCTCCACGCCACCCGTCCTCCCTCCTCGCCCGGCGAACCCACCCCCAAGGGCTCCCGACGCCAGGAGCACAACATCACCCGCCTTCTCAGTACTGCCTATGAAAAGCACCTGGGCTACGGTCCCCAAAAACGGACTGCAAAAAAAAGCAGTCCCTATAGTAAAGGCTATACCGCAACCTGCAGCAAGGGCCTCAAAGAAAGAAACTCCTAAGGCAAAAGTCGACAAACGACTGTTCCTTCGCCTAGAAAAGGAGCACTCGTGACGCAAGCTTCCACCTAGCGCTGTACGGCAACAGATATATGATAGGCTGCAGTAAACCGTGGGTGACGCCAGCTCCATATATCGAGTCAGAACCGGTTTTGCGATTCTGAAAGGGAATGAAAATGAATGGGAAAGGCTCTTGGATGCCGCCCCGAAATTATCGGACTCCCACGCCAAGCTAGAAGAAGCCTCTAACGTTGTCGCCTTTCGGATCGTGAATGTCCCCGCGGCCATAAGAACACTCGACGGTAATAATACGGTCAATGCGGATTGGATCTCATTGGAGATCTACCGAAAAACTCGACAGCTTCCCATTCAAGTATGACCTCACGGGACATGCCGTCCTGGGGCGCTGTACAGAAATTTGAAAGCCCTCTTTTCTCGGGACTCCCCCCCTCGCGCGGGCTTCCGCATCCTCGACGAGTCTGGTATGGCTACCATTCACAAGTCTCGTCGACCAATCGGACAGTGCAAACGCTGTTTGGGCTTCCACGCCACTCGTGGTTGCTTCCGCGCTCCAGCCTGCTGGAACGCCGGTTCAAACATGCACTCGGAAGCCGAGTATAAGGCCCTCACAAAGTGTCGCAACTATGGGAGACCCCACCGATCGGATTCTCGGGACTGCCAAGCCAGACCCAGAACGTCTGGACCAGTGACAAAAGAGCTGCTCGCGTGGATACGCCACCTCGAGCAAGGGAAGTTCGCGGAGGCGGCTCGAGCTAGGGCCGCAGCCAAAAAGGCCGAAGAAGCGATCGTCACTGCGGCGAAGGATGTCTCGATGGCCGAGGCAACAGGTTTCGGAGTGCTAGAATCTGAAGAAGAAGCTTGAGGACACAGCGACGTCGACGATGTCCCTTTTGGGGCATCTGCTAACTAATAGCAGGATACCGGCTCGACCAAAGGTGCCTGCTAACCCATCTTTTGCTCTCAGCGGCGAATGGGTAAATTTGTCATCTGGAAGGTGTGATAGCCGACGGAATGTGTGGTGAGCGCATTGCTTGGGTCCAATATGGAGGAATCTTCTGTCTCTCAGTTGTTTTGATTTTCGGGGGGTTTTCTTTTTTCGTTTCTATGTAACCAGCTGCACCTTTGG